AAATATAATATTTATTTAAACAAATAAAATATTTACAAATATATAATAAATATATACAGAGCGTATGCTCACCCCTACCTCTAACCCACCAAAAAAGGCCAGCTCAATTTCAATTAAAATAAAAAATTGAAAAAGAATATTTATGGCCCTAGACTCATAGGAACGCTGAAGTCTCACCTATTCTGCTGCAATTCGTAATTTTCTGCTTTCTTTTTTCTCCAGTTTCTTGTCCCGATTTGCTGTAATTTTTCTTTTTTCTTCAATTTATTCTCTTTTTTTTTGTGTGTGTGTGTGTGTGTTTGGTTGGAATAATTTATTCTCTAGTTAGTTTCTTTCTTCAGATTTAGAAAGGATAGAAAAACTCTGGTTAACAAATTCAATTTGAGATCCAGTTATGTCTACTTTAAAAAGTTGTCTACTATATAAATTCCTGACATATATGTGAACACCTCATCGGATTTTTTTCAACATTTAGGTTAATAGGTTTTTCAATAGTCCCGAAATTTCTTTGGGTGTCTCTATGTTTTGTTAATGCAACAACCATAGTCTTAAAAACTAATCCCTCCATAAGAGTATTATTTATTACAGGGTGTTATGAACTCTTGTTAACAAATTGAATTTGAGATCCACTTTTTCTTGCTTTAGGATACCACTGGAAGCTGGACTCAGGCGCCGGACTGACTGCGATTTTTCCTGTCACCGGACCAAATTTCTGAAGGGAATATTGGTATGGTTATCAGGTGTGTGTGTGTGTGTTTTTTTTTTTATGGAGAAAATAAAATTCAGTTAGCCACAGGTACGTTTCGGACTGAAAATGACCGATGCCCAGTCTACCTACTTTTTCGATCAAGCATTTCAAAGTCAAGATGCACGTGCAATTAAGATTAAAGTCAACTGTTTTGTTACTTGTGCTTCAAAAAAGTACAGTGTCTATTGACTAGGAAACGCTTAATATCACATATTTCTACGTTATTATAAAAAAAAAGTATTATGTTGTTTGAATTTCATAAATTTTTTTTTTCTAATTTGACTGTTTAAAAAAGGGTGAAAAATATTAAAAGGAAAGAAAACTAAGCAGCGAATTCCAGTTTTAAAGCTATTGATGAAATGTTAGTGAAAAAAATTGATGAAAAACAGAGATATTAATGAATATGAAAGTACATAAATTCAGAAAAACGCAAGAAAGTGTCGGCATTCAACACGTACTTAAACTTAAGACAGATGATTTTCAGCAGCAATTGCAAAAATAACATAGAAACAGTGGCTAATTAGAGGAAGAGACAGACGCCATGAACTCCCCATCAGATTCAAGAGCGTGCATAGATGCTTCTGGAAGGCACACCTCCAAGTCTATGCTTCCTCCACCTTCACGTCCCGGGTACGACGATACTTTCCCGTCGAACTTGTTAGCATATCCACTGCGAAGCGCCACCGCTTTCCCCAACCCAAATTCATTCCCGTACTTGTTGAACCTCGGCGAGCTCCCCATCATCACACTCAGCGGATCGAAAAACTGACCCAGTTGGTAAATGAACGGCGATTGCAGCCACTCGTCCACGAACCCTCGCACCTTTTTGTCTGTGTGGTTAAGGACCGCTTCGTGCAACTTCCACGCCGCCCATCCAAGATCGTGTTCCTGAAGTTCTCCTGCCGTTGCGATGCCCCTTACCGTCTGAATTGCGTTGCCGAAGTAATCAGGGGACAGCGGCGGTTCCATCCTTGATCTGTTATTTATGGCGAGGCGGCAGCTAGTCGTTGTTTCCGGTGGTAGGCGGCGAACCCTTGTGATTGACCGCCAGACGAGGGCTGATAAGGACTGGAAAGAGGAAATTTTTTTGGTATTGTACTCTGAATTTGCCCTTGCCTTGATCTTCGCAATGGATTCCGATGTGAAGTGGAAGATTCTCTCTATCAATTGGGGTGCTTCGTATCGAATGACAAACTCATCCTGATGGGTGAATGGAAGATTGATGATCGGCCCATAACCGTCCGGGAACCACCGCTTGTGGACTGGTGGTTGGGAGATGCACGCTTCATTCCCGTGAGCTTGAAAGATTTCAGACCAGGCTTTGAAGAAATTCCAGAAGGAGGTTCCATCACCTATGGCGTGGTTCAGCGAACACCCAATGAAGACCCCATCTATCAACTCCGTTACCTGAATTGATAACAGAGGTCTTGTATGGCCGTCGTGATTCAGAGCTCTGTCATGGTCAAAGAATGATTGGACAACCACCGGGACATAAGTAGGAGAAAGAATATCGGAAACGGTCATGTCCAAAGCTGCGTGGATGAATTTAGCTCCAGGACTGTTGTTGCAGTCAACAAAGACCAAGTAGGTCGGTGGGTTTTCTTCTTTTCTCGTTGAAAGGCGACCAGAAAGAGGGTAGAAATGAACGAGGGTGAGGGAAAGGGAGCTCTTGAGCCTGTCTAGGAGACCTCCAATGAAGTTTTCTTGCTCATCTGCCGGTGGAGGTTTGGTAAAAAGGAGTCCCTTTTGGATGTAATGCACAGAGAACATGGCCAGATCCCATGGTGATAGATAGAAAGGCTGCTTGGATTCTTCTGGGGCGTACTGTGGTTGCACAAAGCATTCGGAAATGTATCGAACTGACTTGGGATCCATTCTTCCTGCTGTTGAATGGAAATAATTGGGTTGATTGTGTTGCCCTGGGAATTCAGCATCACAGCTTCCCCTTATATAATATGGTAGAATTGTAGGTGAGATTCATGCCCAGTATTTCTTCTTGGTATTGCTGTTTGAACTATTCAGGGGACAAGAGGCGCTATGACCTGTCCCAGGGGGAGACTTGGTTCATTAATTGTGTCCAAACAAAAATGGAGAAAATATGTAAATAAAAATCATGATTTTATATTTTTTAATTTTAAAATATTAAATTTATTAATTTTTAAATAAAAATATTAATTTTTAATTTTTTTATTTAAAAATCAATAAAATTAATATTTTAAAATTAAAAAATACAAAAAAGGCCTTTATTTACTTTTTTTTTTTTCCACAAAAATAATATAAAAATAGAAACCATTAGCGGCGCATCTCAGAGTCAGAGTTCGCCAATTTTTACAAGAGGCCTCAATAATCTCGACCTACTACCCTAATTCCAAAGGGCAGCCGATGTTGACCGAAAAACCTGATCTGGGCAGGCGTTGATACTCGGTGCCCATTGAACAAGTCAATAGTTTTCCTTGTCTGCCAAGTTACAGGTATTTTTCGCTTGCACTATCCCTCGAAAAGGCTTTCTTCGCAAAGCAAAACAATGCAACGTTAATGTTAGGTGAAGTATTAACCCTTTCTTCACCAACTCCTTTTGCTAATGTTCAATACAAATCAGTAACACAAATCAGAGACGCTTTTACTCGGTGCAGCAGAGAACCGTGGTAGGTGAGAGTGTATCAAGCGTGTTAGTTTCAACTTGAACACTTCCCTCAGTTTTACAAAAAACGAAATATTATTCCTAGCCTAGAAGTTGACAAATTCAACATCGCGGCCGTTGCTCTCAAGAACCAGAGGAACGATATGGCAACCGTGCCACTTACCTTGTAACGATAATGATTCCTCAAAAAGAATCAAATCGTTAAAAGCTAAAGAATATATTCATCGAGAACTCAGAATGACAAATTCGAAGTAATCGTCCATGTAAAGATAATGATTCCTCAATACGAACCAAATCGTTATGATTAATACAGCATTCCATTCGAGTCAAACTAGAGGTTCCAAACAGTTCAAAACATAAGTCGTTCAAGCAAGCAGACAAGAAAAATAAAATATCAGAATATCAGTGCTAAAAGTTCCAAACTTGAAATAAACTAACATAACCCCACAATATCGGATGAATTCAGTGCCATGATAGTAGATTCTATTGCCTAAGAGACAAGGTTGTCACTCAGGGATAGTGAACCCAGCTGATCAGCTGTGCCATTGCTCTGCTGCTGAGCTGAAACACTTCTCAGGACCTCCATGGCCTCTGCAACTTTAGCCTTCAAGGCCTCGGGTGACTCCAGCAGATGCAATACCTCCGGCTGGTCCATCTCAAGAAGCATGCCTGTGACCTTTGCCGCTGCATCAGGCTCCAATTGTTCCACTAGTGGGTACAAACTTTCACCCATCATCTGCAGAAAACGAACAGAAATCAGAAGTATATATAAATGTGCAAGCCCAATTTAAGAAGGGGGGAACATTCACCAGCAAAACATGAGCTTACCATCCTTTGTTGGTCAGGTGTTGCATTTGTAAGAGCTGATGCTAAAGCTTGAATGGGGATAGGACCTGCATCCCGAATTGGCATGCTACCCATTTCATATGGAATGGAAACCATACCTCCAGCAACACCCGGTAATGGAACATCAGGCATGTGGCGACCAGGTGGATAACGATACCCACGTCCCCTAGGAAGCATCTGGAATAAGCAGATGTCAAACACATGCAAACAGGCAAACATAAAATGAAATCCATGCTCAAATACATCCAGGCTTACCTGTTGCTGCATCAATGGGACTGGTTGCTGGTTATGTTGCACAGGACTTGCTCCACGGCGCCCCCCTGGACGCTGCCCCTGCTGGCCAGGTGGGACCATGGGAACAAAGAAATTGGGAATGGGCCCACCACCAGGCCTCATCCCAGGAACAAGTTGCTGTTGGTAACCAAACCCACCCTAAAATTAACAACAAATAAATAACGGTCAAAATTCACATCACATGCACATTTTAAATAACACAACACCTAATAGCTAGAAAGTAACAAATGCATTCCGCGTAAGCAGGAACAGGAGTAAACAGTGCCATGCTTATACAAGCATGAATTCTTTTGTCAGAACTAAATTATCCGAACATCCAAAAGAACCAAGGAAAAAATGACATGAATAGAGAATTTTAATGAATATCAAGTGACATTGGAAAAGAACACTAAAGGAGAGAATAAGACAAAAACCTGGGGGGTAATTATAGCTGGAGGTGCTTGTCCATATAAAAATTGCTGGCCAAGACCTGGTGCACCAGGAGGATACATAGGCATTCGCGGAGCAACTGAGGGAGCCATGGCAAGTGGCCTCATTTGCAAAAACTGAGCCTACATAAAACCAAACAGAAACAAGTGAGAAACTATATATGGAGTTACATATTAACTCAGAAAATAACAGAGGCACTCAAACTTCAATAATTTAGAACATTAGCTTGAGCTCATGCATTTAACCATTACACTACAAGAATTTGGAAAATGCTGATTCTGCAGAAAATATATTTAAATTGAAAGAAAAAACACATTCGAGCTAAAATAGTAACATCAAAAAGAAGTTAAAGCGCACAAGAAATTGTTTCTCCCACAATGATGATACCTGCAGCCTGGCTCTTCTCTCTTCTTTCCTCTGTGCCAGTGCAACATATAGCGGTTTGCTTACAACCATTTTTCCATTCATCTCAGCAAGCTGCCCAGAAAAACAATATAGATCAAATTTTTATGCATTTACATATTA